AGAGGTTCTTGAGAATTTGTACATGGGTAAATGAAGTCGTGGCTCCAGTGTCACTACTGAAATAATAATGACGTTTCCTAAAATGGTGAGAATATAATATAACCAAGAACACTATGAATAGCAGGATCTGGTACTGTGGGTTGCCACTGAAACCCAGTAGCCTGAATTCCAGTACTGCTGTGTCATTTACCATCTTTTGGAAAAAGACAGGATTTGTCTGTTAAGGAAGTAATCAATACAGAATGTGATAATTTTAAGTAGTGAAGGTGTTCTTTTTAAAATTGTGTTTCTCAAATAAACATTTGGCAGCATCAAAGTCACTACTGATCTGACCTTCCATTCTACCTCCTTTCCTTACATCCTGCTCTCTATTTGTCCCAAGACAGATTTTTCATGTATTCATGAACTTCACATAGACAGATACAGAATTAATTGCAAATGGTCATGTAGAACAGCCACTCTTCACACTTTCATATAAGGATATGTATCTTTTCATAAGGATATGTGTAAAAAATTGCATAAAGATATAATAGGTATCATTCAACTAATGCATGCTAAAAAACAATACATAAACTTACACGTATGAACTCAGACAGCAAAGACCTACTATTCACTGAAAAATTAATATGCACAATCAACAGTACTTATTGCACTCATGATTTTTTTTTTAAATAATGATTTCAAAATACTCATATACATGGTCCTGTTCAAATACATCAAGATAACACATAACACTTTCAAATGCTTTGCTATGCAGGATACAAACTTCCACACAGATTCAACAGCAGTCATATAATTTCTTGTTAAATACTGTGCATAAAGATAAAATTCCTGCCTCAGGAATGGAATTCATAGTGAATAAACTATTATTACAAGTTGATTAGGCATAATGCAATTCATAAGAATAATCCAATTTTCCATACACATAATAAGCAGATTCATATAGTATTTATCTACTCACTTACGTATGAACCACTACACATAATATTGAGTATGTGCTTCAGACCTTTTCCAATCTACAAACACATTAGACTGATGAGGTTTCAGTCTGCTCAGGTCCTTAGATTAGATACGTCCTTTACTCTGTAGTTAGAGCATTATTAACAATCTCCTACATTGACTACAATATCTCATTAGATAGAACCCTTCTAGATTCAACTACCTTTTGGTCAGTCTTGACTTTTATGAAGACAGGCAGACAAAGGTGGAACTGTACCAAACATTGAATTCAGTCTTTACCAAGCATCTCTGGGGAGTAATGCATGGGTGGAGACACTCCATAGAACACCCTAGCTACTACTGCAAGGCTGATGACACATCTACAGCCTGTCAGTAAGAGGAAAAATCCTTTGAAAAAACTGCATCCAGAATTCACCAGAAACACTACAGACATTTCAGCTAACCAAACCATGGCTTTCTGAAAAAAAGCTCAAATGTAGCAGCTCAGTAACTGTAAAATGAAAGTCTATTGTGAAAAATAAAATCATTTTGAAGTACATAAAAATAACTCAAGATTTTGCTCTGGGACATTTTCACAGCACATTTCATCCAAGTTGTGTCTTTCTACTGCAATCTTCTGAGTGACACTTTGGGAAAGCTCTCTAGGCAAAACATAAGTTGCTGCTTGTTCACCACTTACGGGCTTTCAAGGCTTATCTTCATAATTTCTGATTGCCTTCAAATTAAAGGGAAAGCTAAATAAATAAATAAATAAACAAGAAACAAAAGACGTTTTGCTACTCATTTCCTATTTATGTTTTTTTTTTTTTTTTTTGTTTGTTTGTTTGTTTTTTGTCTTCAGAAGGTATCTGGAACGCATAAAGCATCAAAATATATTTTCTTAGTTCTTCAAACATTTTTTCATTTTTTTGAAAATGGCAAGCTTACTGGGGAGGAAAACTTTAAAGAGACTTTTCTCTGAGTTCTTCATTCCCAAGTTAACAGTACAAAAGAGATTCATTGGAAGGCTGCAATGAGGTTGTACTGGGTCTGGCTGGGATTTAACTTTCCCTGCAGCAACCCATACAGTGCTGTGCTCTGCACTTGTAGCCAGAACAGCAGTGGTATCACCCCAGTGCTGTGTCTGCTGCTGAACAGTGCTGGCACAGCATCAGGACTCTCTCTAACTCTCCCAGGCGGTGGGCAAAAAAGTGAGAAAAGAAACATCACCAGGGCAGCTGACCTAAACCAAACCAAAAGGATGTTCCATACTGCATGGTGTCACACTCAGGAATAAAAGGGGGAAGGCAGAAGGAGTGGAGTGACTCTCATTATGAAGACGTCTGTCCTCCCAAACAACCACTACACAATTGAGGCCCCACTCCCCAGGATATAGCCAAACATTGCTTTTTGATGGGAAGTAGGGAATATTATTATTTTCCTCTCTCTCTGCTTCCACACGGCCTTTGTTTGTTTTTTTTTTTTTCTTTCTTCCTAAATTCCCCTTATCTCAGCCCCTGAGTCTTTTTTCTTTCCAGCATCTTTCTACTTCTTCTCCCCTCTGCTTCTGAGGAGGGGGAGTGAGAGAGCAGTTGTGGTGGAGTTTAGCTGCCCAGCAGGGTATAACCACTACAATGATCACCTCACAGAGACAGGACATACCCCTTTTCCCAGGACCATCCCCAAAACTGTCCTGCAGTTCCTCCTTTTCTTAGGGAATTTCTGGCTTGTGTAGGCTGGAGAAAAAGAGAGGAAAGCAAGCAAATTGGTATTTGTCACTGAGCTCTAATGTTTGTATCTATGGTACGCAGCAATTCTGAAGCTCTTGCAAATAAGTTAGTGCAAATGTTGAGCTGAATCCCCTCTGTAGGCACCTTTACAGGCTGGGACAAAGGGACAAAGTCTTACTCTTCACAGGTTCAACAGAAAATTTCCTGCTCATTGATAGTATTTCCTCATCTCACATAACATTTTACCTACAATCTGTGTTCCTGATGGGTGGGAGGAGGGGTATATCTGTTGTGTGCATCCTCATGTCCATCCTTACGTTGCCAGAGAAAATTTTCTTTTTTGGCAAATCCATGCCAACATAGAGAAGCTTGTAAGTAATTTTCCCTTTGGCAGTCGTGCCTGCCACTCTAAAGACATCTCTGGGCAGATGCTTCATCTTTCAGTCCCAAACCCTGTCAGTGTGCAGCTGTCCCACAGAAGTGAAGGATCACTGCTCACCCTTGTAAGAAAGAGCCATGAGGCAAGATGTCTATGGGATGAGGTACATAACACCTGCAGCATGCAAAGATCCTACTGCAATCAGAGCAGAGTGGTTGGAGGCTCTACTACTAGCTCAGAGATTCTGAAGTGTAGCTCTCTGTTTTAGCAGGGGCCTTTGCCACATGGCCCAGTCTGGTCCTGGAGCTACTTCCACTAGCAGGAGGATGTTAAAGAGCTGCTGAGGACAGCACCATGCTTGGGGAGGGAAGGGTACAGCAAATGCTTGGCACTACCTACAGGGAAATTAGCTCTTGCTCAGGAGCCAGAGAGGAAAGGAGGCAATACAGTAGAAACTGGGTGCTGTGAAAACAATCTAGCCTGATCTGTTTGGGTGGCTGCATCACTGAATACTGCACAAGTGTAGTATGTCTTGCTTGACTAGAAAGAAAGGAGACTGCTTCAAGGGACATTTATAGCCTGTGTGGCTTCACTTGTGCTTCTATTACTTGTGATGCCTAGGAAACAAAAACATGACTGCTATTGTCTCCACATTTGTGTGTGTGCTTCTGGACTCAACCACAGATATGTAGGAACCTAGAAACATCATAGAAAAGTCACATCTTCTGGATATGACTGCATGTGTGAACGACTGAACCTAACAAGACGGATTAAACAGATTTTGCCTTGCTGCTTTGGAGCCAACAGTACCATCAGTTGTGTACCTTTTCCCCTCAGGAAGTGGTTAATGTGCTTTTCAAACAAGGGGGAACTTTTCTTGCAAAGTGCGATTTAGTCATTCGTTTTAACCACAGGATCCTGCTTCAAGCAGGCAGCAGTTTGAAGCTTATGAGACAAAAGTTAACTGGGACATGTATGTGCAGTGTTTGGTTTTTTTTTTTTTTTTTTTTTTTGTTGTTGTTGTTGTTTGTTTGTGTGTGGGTGTGTTTTTGACTGCTAACCAAACTTCTAGGTTATCTGTCAAACCAGCCCACAGTATTTCCTGTTGGCCCCTTCCCAGTACTGGTAAGTGGGAAGTCAGTATCCTGTTTTCTCACCTTCTGAGATCTGTACGTTCATTCCTTATTCTCATATTTACTATTTTTCTTTTTGTTTACAATCAAAATTTTGAGCCTGACTAATTTAAAAGGACATGAATAATTAAAATTCATTTAAAAAGCAAAGCCAAATTTCTTAGCCTTGCTGAAGTCTTTTAAATGTGTCAGGCAGTCTTTCTCTTACCCTGTGGAAAACCCAAGAAAAACAGTTTTAATCTAAGGGAAATACATCATGTGGTAGGTGATTTCCTACTTCTCAGTGGTTACTGGATATGACAGTTGAATTTTATCAGTTTTTACTGAATTATCATAAGTAAGGACACTGTGCAAATCTTACGATACTTCAGCATAATAAAATTTTATTTTGATCTTCATTAAGAAACCTGAAATGTTGGCTCCATATACCTGACAAAGAGAAAAAAGTTTCTAGAGGAACAAAGGAAAATCCTACTATATATCTGTCTAACATGAATTCCTTCAGGTCTGGTGGAACTATGTTCACCTACACTAGAAAATTAGCACTAATAAAAGCATCTAAAAATTAAAACCATACAATGCTTCCTCTCTGCCTGGGATCCCTAAGCAGTATGGCATTACTTTTGTAGACAGTAATGTAATACAAATAGAGATGTTATTTTTAAAGCATAGTAAGTATGAAGCTCAGTTTTAAAGCTCTGAAAACTATCTAAGCAACTTGGTACTTCAAAGCAGTGGATAGAGGAGTAGGAACATCTAAGTATTCCTGCTTAGCAGTAGGTTGAAGACAATTTCTGATATGAATCAAACATACAAAAAATTGTTGTAACAATTAATGAAATTTAGCAAGACAAGAGTTCAACAATATTAACTGCTTAAGAAAGCTTTCAGATGGTGTTAACTGAAGAGCACCTTGATGAAGTGATGGGACTCAAAGTTCTACAGGAACTGGGAAGGGATATTGCTTCTTTGGTTCCTTAGATGTTTATTGGCAGCAAAGTTGAGCCACAGTGTTTAAATCACACTGTTACATTTTCTCCCACTCTTCTTCAGCCCATTGCTGGCTCACTTAGTACCCTGAAAGAAATGTTTGTTTAATGAAGTTGTGCCTAGTTCCTGTGAAATCAGAATAAACTGGATAATCATTTTGGTCATTTTGTGTACTTGATCTTCAGAATTCTCCCACCTACATTTTCCTTCTCCTTTTTCAAATTTGTTGTATTTGGGGATTCTCCCTTTGTAGTCCTCACATGTCTGGACTTCTCTCCAGACTTTCTCCACTCGAAGCTGCCAGCAGAAGATTTTTGATATAACCTGAGGTGCTCTGGTCTAGCCTGGAGCAAAAACAAATTGCGGATGAGCAACCAATGAGTTAGTCACTGGAAACATTGACTCATTCTGTGGAAACCAGAAGAGCTGAGATAGTGTCACTCCTTGTGGGGTTACAGGAGGTTATAAACCCAAATTGTCTGCACTCCCTACACTTCCCTCCTGTGTTCCCAGGGACTGAATTATTTATTTCCTACCTCAAAGATGAATAGCTTGATAGTCATGAGTGTACCGAAGGCAATACTTTTCGCCAGCAAACTCTCAAACACAAAACCACCATGAAAACCATATTCATTTTTTCCATTTTGACATCTGTTTCAAAAGAAGAAAAAGATGGAAGAGATTTTGGCCTTGATACTATCAAAAAAAAAAAAAAAAAAGGAAATCCACACATCATGGATGAGGGAAGGAGGAACAGAGGGGAAGATGGCAGAGAAATTCATCAAGTTCAGGGACGAGAGAAAGAAATGCCTGCCCAGTGAGAATTTACTTCCCATTGCTGGTTTATCCCAGGGAAAATTCTCAGCTATTTAACCTGTTAACCCAAAATAGCAGCTTATTCCTCAATAAATATTTCCAATTCTGACATTTTTACACTAGAGAAAGTAATTTGTCATGTCTTTATACAGAATCCACAATCAGTGAAGCCTATTGTTTAGTAAGTATCTACAATTCAGACATTTCTGTACCAAAGATAATACATTTTCATGTATTTTACTGATTCACCAATAAAGTACATAAACTGTACTAATGCTTTAAACAACTAACCTTTTGTAGAGGCATCTATAATGTTGCAAACTTTCACTGTCACCAGTTCTTCAGCTTTCTCTTCTGTTGAATGATTGAGACACATTATAAACTGTATCTAAACTACATAAAATGAGAATTAAAGAAAGAACACCTATGCCCCTTTCCCCAGCAGTAGATAAGCATTATTGGAATGTCAGATGGCAGGCAGACATTAATTCTGGTATTAATTTGAAGAGAAAGAATATCTTTCTACATGTGATTGCAGAAAAGTCCGCCAAGATTGTTGAGGATTTTTCCTTTTTTTTTATCCTTTTTGAAATGCACTTTACCATAAAAAAAAAAAAAAAAAAAAAAAAAAAAAAAAAAAGATAATAAAAATCAAAAAATAACCAGAAGTTTTGGGTAAAAAACGTATTTTCCATTTCTTTTTGTTTTCATAAGTTATTTCAAGCTTTCTGCTATCAGACATGTATACTCACGTGCCTTGAACGATTTTGCATCAGATAAAGTAAGACTCAGAAACATAAAGAGTTTTGGTTTGTTGTTGTTGTTTGGTTGTCCATGTCCCCCTCCATCTCCCCTTCCCCCCCCCTTTTTTTTAAAGAAGAAAATTCCAGTGCTTAAATGGTTGAATTAAGATCATCTACACCATGTACTTTTGAATATCTCACTTCCACATGTCTACGCACCTAAATATCTTTCTGACTGTACTTGTTCCTGTTAGATGCTCAAAGACTAAGAAAGTATCTCGGAAGAGGCATCTCCCAGAATCAGTCTGTGCTTGTACCACAAACATTGTACCTGGCAGAATTGTGCTGGCTGCAGTCTCATTTCTCTTGTGCACAGCCTTGCAGGTCCCCTTTGCATCTGGTTTTACTCCAATTACCTTCCATGTACTGTACATCCCCTCCGATGTGATAAGAGGTGCCTTCAGATCATATACAATGTGACCCTCAGGCCCATCAAGACTGATGTTCTTAGGGTAGAATGTCCTTGCCAAACAAGCTATATTCAATTTGCTGCCATATTGTTTAGGGTTCCTTTGATTTAAGTGCAATGACTTCTGGTGTAGAATATTCTTGTCTGCCTGAAAAAGAAGCATAACTTTAGAATAACTTTATTTCTGCATACTTTCTTGACAGCTAAATCACCTGCAATTCAAACATAGTCCACTCATGTTTGTCCCCTGACACCTAAGTGTCTTCTTCCTTCTCTTTCCCAAAGAGCAGATAAAATACAGAAAGGGAGCATAGTGGGATTTTAATGGAAGGTTTTAATCCCTTGGGGTCTTAAACTTGTTTTTACTAAAACTCATATCTATATGTGAATTAATTTAAATTAGGCACTTTGAAAAGAGGGAGTTCTTAAGAATACAACACAAATGATCATATTCATTAATAATTCATAATAATGTACATCCTAAAAAGAACATTTATTTCAAGGGCAGTCATATATGTTTCTAACATGATACATGATAAAAGATCCTTTTTTAATTGTGCAAAAATCCTTTACTTGATGATGTTAAAAAGCTTAACCATAAAATATACATGTAAGTGAGAGGACTCTGATACTCCACTCTACAGTACTGTTCCAATAAGTGGCATTGGGTGGGATTACCTGCAGATACAAAATAATGTTGTTAAAACAGAAAATGATGTTAAATTTTCATTTACAAATGTTCAGGTCCAACAAGATTTTCTTTCCAGATTCTGTTATTTCAACATTTCCATAATATTTCTTTGAAGAACCTGACCCAGGCATAGAAATGTCTCTAAAATTAACAAGTGAATAGTGTTACATGAGCTCTGGAGTGATTTCCAAGTTATGAGACCGTTTCACTACATAATGCTGAGCCATCCTAAGGAATAAAACTAGGGCAACTAACAGAGGCTTTCAGTGCCATTCTGCATATCCCATTTACTCTGTCTTCTCTCTGCTTATTCCTTCTGAAAGAAACAAGTCTCCTGTAGATCCTTAAGGCATCTTTGTACTAAGCATTTATGCTTTCACTGAAACCTACCCCTGTCATTACTGTGAAAAACTAGGAGAAAAAGAAGAGATCTCTGGAATGCTCATCCCCAGTTAAACGGTTATCCAGGATTTCCTGGTACGTTTGTGTGCATTGCCTGTCCTGGAAGTTCAGCTGCTGGGACTTGGAGCTGACTCTCTCTCATCTCCTCGCATGGGAGCTGTTTTAAGATGAGGTTATAAGCATTTTGTCTGCACCTATGTTATAGCTCCTTCAGCATCACAGTCTGTGCCTGGCCGTGGCAATCTCTCATGAGAACTCCCCAAGAGTACTGTGTTCAGCTCTGGGATCCCCAACATAATAATGACATTAACCTGTTGGAGCGAATCCAGAGGTGGCTGCAAGGGTGATCAGAGGGCTGGAACACCTCTCCTATGAAGACAGGCTGAGAGAGTTTGAGTTGAGGCTCGGGGGAGACTTTATTGCTTCACATTCCCACACAAAAGCTGGGGAAGGTAGACCATCCTTATAAAGATCACCTTTATGAGTGACATTTCTGAATATGAAGTGCTTTTTTCAAACAGCTGTTTGCTAAATCCTATACGCCATGATTTTCCACAGGATTTTTCTTCTGAAACCCTTTATGTCTCCATTTTCCTTTCCATGCGTCTTAGTGTTACACAAACGAAAGAAAAGAACTAACTTTACCTCATACTAAAGCTGGGACAAAATACCACCTCCTGTAGGTATAATCAATACAGTGTTAAATTTAGTAGTGCAGCTACTGGGGGGAAAAGGGTCGGGGAGAGGTGGTATTGAGGATATGTGGAGTAATGCTGATGCACACAGCTAGGAAAATAACTTTTTTGGTCCAGAAAAGTTTTGTTAACTAAATTGAGGACTTGAGCACCTGGTTGGTGTATACATGTTCAAGAGATCCCTAGCAACAGAAAATTCTCATTCAACTGCAACATCATAAAACCCACCCCAACTCAGATTTACTCCACTTTGTCCACCCCACCTCAAACTTACATGTACAAAATATATTAGTAGTAATACAAATGGAACTTACTTGGTTCAACTGAGAAAGCAATCCCACTTCCAAATACAAGCTTGTCTGTTTCCACAGTGTTTCTGCATAGTCAGAAAACAGAAATGATTTCCTCACTACATATTAAAGGTGTATAAACTCAAAGAACAAAATGACAGTGGTTAGTCCAAAGGATCTGTGAATGAAATGCTATGAAAGCTCTCCAGAGAAACTTTTCTTTCCAAAACTGGGGGGAAAAATATTTTTGTGGTAGAGAGATTTCAAACAACTTGATGCAGGCCAAAGCTTTTAAAACTCTTTCCTCTTCTCTGTTGTTAACTCAATAAGCAATATACTTGCAGAATAAATAGTCACAGGAATACTGCAGTTTGCTCCTTCAGCACACTCCTTTCTTTCTTTCTTTCTTCCTTGAAATGTTCTTGAAATTTTCTTCTTGCAGTCTCAGGTTTTTGTATGAGGCCTTAGAGTGTTTGTGCCTATTGTGCTACTCCAAGTTCTCAACACAGTGATATACTTAGTTACAAAAAGTGCCTCTTCCTTCCTTTTTACTTCACAGTATATTCAGATGAGACAGGTATACCGATATACCATACAAAGAAATCACATAGACTTGCAAATAAGAATCCGACCATGGGTCAAAAGTGGAGATTTAAACCTACCTAGGACATATAGAATTGCAACGTGGCTCTGAGAACACTTAGATTTTTGCCTAATGAAAAAACAAAAGTTGTGTGAGTGTGATTCTACAGAAATTAGCAAAACTCTTCAGAGTTGCAGAAGTGTTCTGCTTTTGTTTGTTTCTTTGTTTTTTCACTTTGGATTTTTTTTTTTAATTTTACTTTTATATATATATATATATATTTTTTTTATTATTATTTTTTCCCAGGAAGAAGAGGAAAGTGCTCACTCTGGTCTTTTAGAGCTGTTATCTTTCTGGATGGCCCAGGGGTAAGGGTAATTCAGTACCTCAGGAAATCATGCTTTTGATAACTGTTCTTTATTAGGTAGAGATATATTGTACGATAGAGGCATTATTAAATAGGGATTTTGCTGTGGATGGTGCAAGTTGGATTGATCAAATGCTGCATGATGGTCAAATTCTGCACTCTTAGCATGAACAGCATCTAAAGATTTGTGTCAAGCATAACGTCCAGGGAAAAATAAAATTCACGTGAATACATTTGTTATGCATATGTGTGGCAAGATGTTCCCTTCCTCTGTTATGGCATGGGAGAATAAAAGAATAGAACACTTATATAACATACTTACATAACCAATTCACATTAAAAAAAAAAAATAAAAAAAATCTGTGATTTATCCATTGGTGGTCTTTAACAATATTGATAGAGTATTTATGGGTGATACACAACAACTGTGTTGACTCACTCAGTTGCTCCTGAATGGACTAGACAATGCCCTTCTTGGGTATACAGACAAACCATTCACCAGATAATAGTATGCTACCCACAGAGCATAAACCTTATAGAAACACACCTGACACTCTTGCATCAGCTTGTTGGTCACAACTGAAGGTCACAACCCTGTAAGAGTAGTTGGCTGGTCTTGGTTGATCAAGGAGTGTTGCCTGGTGAAGATGTTTGTGAAAGACAATATGAGATGTTGACAATCTAATGCATGGCTTCACCAAGGGAAAATCATGCCTGACCAATCTGGTGGCCTTCTATGATGGAGTGACTATATCAGTTGACAAAGGAAGACTGACTGGTGTCATCTACCTGGACTTCTGTAAGGCTTTTGACATGGTCCCACATGACATCCTGATTTCTAAATTGGAGAGATATGTATCTGATGGGTGGACCATTCGGTGGATAAGGAATTGGCTTGATGGATGCACCCAGAGAGTAGTGGCCATTTGCTCTATGTCCAGGTAGAGGCCGGTGCTTTTCAATATCTTCATCAATGACATAGATGATGGGATTGAGTACACCTTCAGCAAGTTTGCAGATGACACCAAGCTGAATGGTGCAGTTTATACAACAGAAGGAAGGGATGCCATTCAAAAGGGACTTGGATAAGCTGGAGAAGTGGGCTGAATGAGGTTCTATAAGACCAAGTGCAGGGTGCTGCACCTGGGTCAGGGCAATCCCAGGTATGTGTACAGACTGGGAGAAGAACCTATTGAAAGCAGCCTTGAAGAGAGGGATTTGGGGCTTCTGGTAGATCAGAAGCTCAACATGAGGCCAGCAGTGTGTGCTTGCAGCCCAGAAGGCCAGCTGCATCCTGGGCTGCATCAAGAGAAGCATGGCCAGCAGGTCAAGTGAGGTGATTGTCCCCCTTGGCTCTGCCCTTCTGAGGCCCCACTTGGAGTACTGCATCCAGGTCTGGGTCCCCCAGTACAAGAAAGCTGTGGGCCTGTTAGAATGGGTCCAGAGGAGGGCCAACGATGATCAAAGATGATCAGAGGGCTGGAGCACCTCTGCTATGAAGAAAGGCTGAAAGAGCTGGGGATGTTCAGCCTGGAGAAGAAGAGGCTCTGGGGAGGCCTCACTGGAGCATTTCAATACTTAAAGGGTTCTTATAAAAAGGATGAAGAGGGACTCTTTACTTGTGTAGATAATGATTGGGGGGAGGAGGGGGAGGGAGGGTGTTAATCTGAAAGAGAGGAGATTTAGATTGGATGTTAGGAAGAAGTTTTTTACTCAGAGGGTGGTGAGGCACTGAAACAGGTTGCCCAGAGAAGTTGTGGATGGCCCATCCCTGGAGGTGTTCAAAACCAGGCTGGATGGGGCCCTGGCAAACCTGATCTAGTGTGTGGCATCCCTGCCTATGGCAGGGGGGTTGAAACAAGATGATCTTTAAGGTTCCTTCCAACCCAAGCCATTCTATGATTCTATGATTCTATGATTCTGTGATTCTATGATTCTATGATTCTGTGATTCTATGACAACTTTCCTGATTGTTGCTCATCCATAGGTAACATTAGTCCCTTGACTACATGGTAAGTAGCTTCTCCATTTCAGTTTGCTTAACCTTATGCTTAGCTTGCTTGCATTCTGCTCACGCTTAATTAATCAGTATGGGTACTTATATCAAACTTAGTCTGTGGTCTGTTGCCATGTTATCACTCAATATCCAAAAGACCCTGATTATCCTGTCACATTTTTGGCATGGTCAGTCCTGTCCCAAAATGGTGTTCTTTACCCAGTGTGCAAGGAGCTGATTAGCACTCAGAATCAAGTCATTTGCTTATTTCATGTCTGCATAGAGATGAATGCCAGGTGGTAACTCCACTAAGCTCGCATGCCAGCCTTACTGAGAACAGTTTGTTATTTTATATATTACAAAATGCAAGATCATCACTTCCTCAGGTTCAATGATAGCGTTCACTTACATGATTGGTCTTTTAACTTCTTGCTTTCATTTAAAGATACAGTACATTACTTTTTTACTACGCATGCTTAGAGGGTAAGGGGTTTCTAGTGGTAGGGGGCTTCCCTAGCCTACAGCTGGCTACTTTTCTATGTTAATGGGATAAGCTTCACCTAAAGTTTAAACGAGTAATTCTTTCTACTTCCTTATCTACTTCTTGCTGTCAGTGTTCAAGGCTGATAAATCCATTTGGGTTCCCACTATAGCAGACTTATGTGAGTGAACTCCTTCCACTCAACGGTTATGTTGACCTCCCCTTCTGCACGTGTTGACCTTCCTTCCTGCATCAGTTTGTGACACGGGAAGTTGCATCTTAAGATACACAATGGAAGCTTATAATGAATACACACTGATTTTTGATGGTTGGTAAAGGACCAGCTATCTTTACTGACAGAGGGTCAGAGCTGAGTGCACAGGAAAACTATTTTTGAGAAATATGGGTTTCTAGCTAATCCTTGACTGTTTCCCCTTGTTCCACTTTGGGGTGTATTTTAAAGAATTTGATTAAATTTGCTGGGGAACCAATGACCAAAGTAAAATGAAAAGGTATTGTAATCACTTGTGACCACACTATAAAATGAAGGATGGTGAGGTTTGGACCAAAAATGGATACTTGAATGTAATATATACTGCAATTAATGCAGTTTAAAAGGACAAAGAATACTTGTGACAGAAAGAAAATAAATGATTTCCAGAATTTCAGTACCAAAAAACAAGAGACAGTTAAGAGGTTTCTTGTGAATGGCTGGGTTCTGCTGCATTTGGATTCCAAATTTTGGACTTATTCATAAACCATTATATGATGTTATCAAAGGGTCAGAACTACTGGAATTGACTCCAGAGTACCAGGAAAGTTTTGATGAGATAAAAAGAAAATTAATGGAAGCTCTGGTCTTAGCCTTTCCAGCCCTTAGACAAGATCTTCTGTGAAGCTATTTTATTCGCAATTGCAATGGCAGGTGTCCAGCAAGCAGGAGCACACAGTGAAAGTATACCATGACCTTGTATTCCCTATTACTCAACAGCTGATTTCTCCCGTTTCCTCATTAGCTGAGTACTATAGGTTCACAAGCTAGTCGACGCCTTTCTATACCATACTATTCTATACTATACCATACTATTTTTTACCATACCATTCTATACTATTTTATTTGACCAACCATTACTTTCTCCTTTTCCTTTTCTTCTTTCTTCTCTCCTAAATAGAGGGCTCATGATTTTTGGTTTTACTGATTTTGCACTGCTTCTCCTGTTTTTCTTAGCTATCCTCCTTATTTTGGGACAGTAGGACCTTCCTCTTCTTAATATACTTCCCACTGCTATGCTACTGTCATGCCTGCACAATCGCTTTTCAATATGTGATGCTAGTGGCATTTTCCACTGCAAAAACACCTTCTATTGCAAAAACACAACTTTGTTTCTCACAATATTAAAGATAACATTGGGCCTTAAAAGTGATAACCCAAATGCTCAGGATCTTGAAAAGACCAGTGGCTTTCTTCTCAAAGCAACTTGATGAAATAAGTAAAGAGTGGCCTGCGTGCTTATGGTCTGTAGAAGCAGCTGCTTTATTAAACCAGAAGACTTGGAATCTTCCCTTGAGACAACCTATAACTGCAATGGTCCTTCATGAACTTCTGACAATTATAAAGGATAAATGACATTACTGGGTTTCTCTGAGTCAATTGGCCAAATATCAAGCTATTCTGATATAGGAAGAAGAAGAGACTCTGGGTATGGTATCTACATTGAACCTGTTGCCAATAACTAAGCAAGAACCATTACAGCATGACTGCCTGGCTGCTGTGAATAAGTCTATACCAGCAGACCAGACTTAAAGGATGAATCATTAAAAGATGAAGATTTACAGTTACATACAAACTGGCAGCAGTTTCATGCATGAGAGGGAGAGGAAAGCTGGATATGAGGCAGTAATCCTCGAGGAAGAAATAGGAACTAAACCATTACCTTGGAATACCTCAGCACAAAAGGCCAAGATTATTGTATTGATTATAGCTCTTGAAATAGAGAAAGATCTGAAAGTTAACATATACCAAGTCTAAGTATATTTTTGGAGTCATACACGCCCATGTAGCCGTGTGGAAAGAACAAGAATTACTGAATTCACATGGAAACAGCATAAAATATGGACAAGAAATATTTAAATTATTGCTTGTGCTTTTAGAACAAAAGGAATTAGCAGTAAATCAATACATAGCCAATAAAGACTCATACTGTCTCTCCTCTGTGTCTGTGCACTTCAAGACAGGCCTGGCATCCTGGCAGGGTTGCTGGGCATACATTCCAGCCATGCTGGCACTTGAGGGATCCTGGCAGAAGTGCTGGACAGACACGGTTTTAAGGTACCCAAAAGGAACATCAAGCCCCACTCCTGGGTTTTCTCTCTAATGGCTACAAAGGAGACAGAAAGAGTAACTTAAATATAACCTTCTGAACTGTGGCAGGTAAAACCCCACCTGCTGACCAAGATCAGACAATTAGATGCTCAAAATCAATTATCCTGAGCCCAACACTCATATTTGAGTGCAAGAAAAACTATCATTGCATATAGTGATTGTCCCACAGCTTGCATCATGATCAGTATCAAATCTGTTCTCTGAGGTTGTGAGGAAGTGGAATATTATACACCTGCAGGCTCTTCAGGAAGTCAGTTTGTGTAGTGTAGTTCAGTCCCCTTCAACTACTGTGATACCTAGCCCACACAGTAATGAATAGTCTTACAAAAACATTTCTGATTTCATTTCAGTACCAGGTGACACACCCTCTTTGATGTCTTTTGAATGCTGAAGTTTGTCTTCCTCTCTGTTCTTTTACTGATGGAAAATCAAACCACAGAGCAATCACTGTAAATTAAAAGTAACATTGTCAGCATCACTCCTATGGTACTTTAAGAAAATGGTATGCCTCTCTCACTGTAACATTGCCCATACTTGTTGACATTGAATATGGATTCATTTCAGAGCTCTTTACCCTCAAATAAATTTATTCTAGATTTCTTTTCAATAAAATTATGGAAATTTAAGGTAGGACGTTTTCTTAATGTCAGAGACCAGATGTACCCAAACACGTTAAGTGTCAGTTTAATTTGTCTTACATATTAGGACTATTGTGGACTGATCATCTACCAAATTACTTTTATTTCTAATATATTTATGCCGTAGCAAAATAAGTCTGTAATACACATATTCATCAGAGGTTAATTTTGCTTGGTATCATTGCCTATTTTGCTGTGCAAATGTGCTAAGATTTGAAGGATGGGGGTTGATGCCAGAAAACATAGAATGGACAAGGCTGGAAGGCACGTTAGAAGATTGTCTTATCTCAAACCCCTGTTCAAAGCAGGGTCATCTAAACCAAGTTCCTACATGCCATATCTAGTTGAGTATTGAATATGGAGACTCTACAGCCTCTTTGGGCAACTTGTTCCAATGCTTAGTTACCGTCCAAGTGAAAAAGCTCTTCATTATGTTTCAGAGGAATTTCCTGTATTTTATTTTCGGCCCATTTCTTCTTGTCATGTCACTAAGTACCACTCAGAAAAGCCTGGCTCCATCCTTTTTACTCCCATGGGTACATTGCTGGCTCATTTTCACCAGAGTCCCTCATGATCCCCAGGTTGTTCTGCCAAGTTACCAATAAGACATTTTTAAACATTTTGTGAAAAAAAAAAAAAAAAAACACTGTACTCTAGTTCAATTTCTACTATGGTGCCTGTCTAATTGGTGTATGGGGAGAAAAGGAGTGGAGGCTGATTTACTGTATTTACTGTGTCTACTTGTTGGATTCCCTAGAATCATGAAATTACCCTTCAGACATTTCAAATAAAACTTTCCTTGTGAAGAATGGGAAGAAAATGGTTTTGTACCCAACTCTCAAAACTCCAATAACATTTCAGTCTTCTCACTTTTTTTTTTCTTTTTTTTTTCTTTTGTCCTGCTCTTTCCATCAGTCATTATGTTTTGTTTTGTTTTGTTTTTTTCTAAAGAAATTCTAATTTTTCCTATAGAAACATGCAGCTGTGTCTGCAGCTGTTGCAGGAAGAGCTGGTCCTTAGAAGGATCTACAGAGCTGATGACTTGGCTTTGAAAGGATGAAACATTACATTGGACTCTTGAGAAAGAATAGAGCAAAGCTAGGTTTTAGGTATTTCCCAGAGTGTGTTGGATCCAACTCCAAGCTCAGCTGCTATCAGTGACAGGTATGCCGGGGATGTTGTAGGTGACTGACTCTAAGATCTATTCTATTCCATATCTTTCTCTGCACATAAGAAAGCATATCTGGAAATGAGAGACACTAAACTGAGTAGGTGGTCTATGGGTGGAGAGCTAGATCAATCAGAAGTTGAGTGTTGTGTGTTAGCCCTGGCACATGCCAGCTAAGTACCAAAGTGCTGACTTGTGTTAATCCTGCAGTGGGATAGGGGAGACCACTGGAAGTGAGAAAACTCATGGATTGAGATAAAGACTTGAGGGAAAGCAAAAGCTACACATGCAAACAGAACGAAATAGGAATATATTCATTGTTTTCCACTGGAAAACATATTTTTAGCCATTTCTAGGAAAGCAGGGCTTCATCATGCATAATGGCAACTTGGGAAGACAAATGCCATAACTCCAAACATTTCCCACTCCTCCTTCTTTCCCCACAGCTTTTATTGTTGAGCATGACATCACGTGGTATGGAATATCATTTTGGTCAGCTGGGGACTGTCGTTCTGGCTGTGTTCCTTCCCAACTTCTTGTGCACCCCCACCCTATTTGCTGAGGGTGAGGGGTTTCTCATTTTTCAAACTGTGTCTCCGTCTTCCAGAAGTCACAAATCAGAAGCTTCCCAGCTTCATTTTTGTGCCTGGTCCAAGAAAGAGATTAAAAGACTGAATTCAACCTTTCAGTCCTTTTGTTTGTTTGTTTGTTTGTTTTTTGTTGTTTGTTTTTTTGTTTCTTTTTTTTTTCATTTTTTTCTTTTTGTTTCTTTTCTAACCCAGTAGTTACTAAATGTTTTTACAGAATGGTTTAGGAAGTGGCATTGGTAGATGCCAGTGACAAACAACACTGGTTTCTACATATTGGTTTCTACATATTGGTTCTACACACTGGTTTCTTCAGGTACAGCTGTTTCATTTGGGAAGGGCAAGACATTGCCCATGTCTCAGTGCAGTGCAGGAGATAGATTCATTCCTCACCAGTGGGTAGATTCACTCTCAGTTATGGATTCTGGCACATTGTCAAACCACAGCTGTGTAAGACATGCAAGTAGCTTCTTTATTGCTGAGTAATATTTTCTTTAATATCTTGCTCTACTATTCTCTGTCAGAGTTCCATAAATCCAACACATAAAAGTACCTTAATTCATCTCAACCACAAGAATACAGCATCTTACTAAAATGCACTCTTTTGGCTCACTTTTCCAGACAAAATGGATCAGTTATTTACATAACAGCATTGACATGATACAATCCTCTCTATGTCAGTGTGAGTGGCACAGAAAGTTATAGACCATGATGAGGTCCCCCCTCAGCCTCCTCTTCTCCAGGCTGAACAGGTCCAGTGCCCTCAGCCAGTCCGGATACGTCTTCCCCTCTAGTCCCTTCACCATCTTCGTCACCCTCCTCTGGACACTCTCCAACAGTTTTACATCCTTTTTGTACTGTGGTTCTGGTGAGTACGAGGTGTCCAGAAAACATTCCCTCCCTGGAAAAAGGTATCATCATCTCTGTCAGGGATGGAGCATCTGGAATGACATGCGACATCTTTGAGGATTAGAGGGAAGTCCAATCCTGCTATAGTGGCCATCATGCAAAGGCAGTGAGAGAGCCCTGGGCACTACCACCTCTGACCATCTGTCTTCCTGTAGAAAGGGAGAATAGACACAAATAGATACACTTTGAGCATATGCGCTTCTATGTCAGAAGTACCTCTCATGCTCTTACATTTCCCTCTCCACCAGATATCAGTGCACAAAGAAACACCATTATGACTTACCTGGACTGAGTGCCAACACAGCTAAGAAATCTTTCTGTATGGCTAGCAGTGCTGGCGCCCCAGCGCTGGCAGAGGCCACCCACAGCACGCTGGAGGAAGGTCTATCAAGAAGGATTAGGCAGTTCTGGGATGTGCTTCTGCTTGAGATTTTAAATACTCTGCAGCAGACAAAAGCTGCTCAGGCCCAATCTCCAGATCCAGCATGTAGAAAAGCAAACATCCACCTTTGCTGTTCCCAGAGCTGTAAGGGTACCCAGCCTCTCCAACAAGGGTGCAATCCCCCTTTAGGAGATAGACAGGCAGCTTGGGGCAGATCTGTGCTGCACGCAGAAGGAACCATCCTTCACATGCCATCTTGCAGCCCCAAAAGGCAGCCCTGATATGGAGAGCTGAGGGTGCCCTGCTCCTTTTACTCTCTTGGGATTAAAGGAGCACCAGGGTAGATGTGGAGAAGAGGCAGTGATAGTAGCTTGTGGAGAAGTCTGTGAATTAGATGAAAGTCTATGTTGTGTGAAAGGTTTGGGGATTGAGCTGCCCATGGGACTTATTCATACATGAAATTTTATTTCTGACTTCTGTTATAAATGTCAAACTTCTCTGCAAATTCAGTTGCCATGGATAGGTTGGGAGATCCAACATCTTTTAGTCCTGATCTTCACTGTTATTTCAGAGAACATGTACAGGCAACTGTCACTTTGAGGAAGGGCTCTGTCACCACAGTAGTCCTCCCACTTTTTGTGCTGCCTCTGCCTCCATTGATTTTATGGTGTGCTGTCTGGCACAGAAGTAGGTGGCTGTGTCTACGGCTGTAAGGGCATGCAGCTGCAGGGAAACCTTTTTTTTGGCTTTATCTGCAGAGATGGTGGCTCGGCTTTGGAAAGGTGGGGCATAGCCTGTGTTATTCCCAAAAGGATAGACCCACGCTAGAAATTGCAGTTCCCCTGTTGGAGCCAGACGGACGTAATTCCAGTCATAGCGAGGGCTATCCAAAGGTGCTCCTATTACAGTGCAGGTGAGTGGGAGTGATCCCAAGATTTTCCCTTCCTTGGGACCAGATGCCACCATTTTTATGTTGGAAAGGGTACCTGGAAAGACAGAGGGCAGGTATGAAGTTTGAGCTTTTGTGAGAAAGGTCATGGGTTCAGTAGTCAGTCCCAAGGCTGTAGGGTGCACAAAAATAGAGTCCTTTAGCTCTAGGAGTTATCCCTGGAAGCAGTGGTTTGCTCAGACACCACAGAACCATATTTCTTTGTACCACCCAAAGGACTTCTGAGGCAGGAGACCCACCAGAGTCTAGATAACTGCTGGTAAACATGACTTATCTCTAACTATGAATCCAGAGTCTTGGAAGAAGGAGCACATGGAGTCCCCAGCCCCTCTCAGTCCCACTGCTGCCTTCACCAGCTGCACCTGAGCACAGGGAACAGGATGGGTATGGATACATGGGGAGTTGGTTTGCCAGTTGCACATGATCCCCACAGGAGCAAGAAACATGGGGCTCTTGCTGTGTCCCCAGAAAATAGCCTGCACCTGGAAAATTCTAAAGCTGCTCAAAATGGGATTCTACAAGGCTCCTTGGAGCAGTTATTGGTTGGATGGAGTGGATGGAGCCTGTGGCCCCTCTGGCCTCATGACATACCCCTAGCAGCACTGAGAACACCATCTCTGGAGATGGTTCCCACCCTGCATAGATAGAAGTGGGCTGAACACCACACGTTCATCGTTTGTCTCATCTTTTTGTGCTCATCTGCACCTTTTGTGGGTCCAAGGTCCAGCTATACCCTGAAATGCTGCAGGAGTGTAAGTCAGACCTGGGAACCTCCCAGGCCCTGCTAGGCTCTTTCAGCCCTGGCTTGGTACCCTTGCTGTCTCCATGGGCTTGGAGTCCCCGGTATGAGGATGTGGGATTCCACAGAGAAGGAATGCATGGGGCAGGCATTACAGTTGGGCATGGAAACACCTGGGCATAGAAATGGCCTTGTGTTCCTGGGATCCTTCTTGGGACCCGCCTTTACCTCCTAGAGTTGCTGCAAAGAGGAGACACAACAGCATTACAGCCATTCTCCTTCTGCTCCTTCTTCTTCAGCCTGAGCTAAGCCCAGAGCCAGCCTGCCTCTCCCATACCTCACCATGAGAAGACAGTATGCGGCTGGGCGATGCTCTGGGCATCTAAAGAGAGCGGTCAGGGTACCATGGGAGTGCAGAGCCCAGATTTTCCTAAGTCAGGAAGAGTCAGCTTGGGCCCCAGCCCTTCCAGCCCTGGAGCTGGTGGACAGCTCTCCTATGCCATGAAGTACAGAGGAACTGCAGAATTATGCCAGATCATCCTCCTTAGGTCCTTCAACATCTACACATCCTACAGAAGGGCAGGAAAGGGCAAAGAGTAGTTCTGAAATGCTACAAGTCCTGGGCAGAGGATCCACCCTGGTGAGGAGAGAGCACAAAACCCATGCCCTTGTCCTTGACCCAGGAAAAGTTGGGCTCTCACCTTCAGGGGCTGCAGCAAAGGTGATGACCAGCAGCCAGAGGAACATTGCAGGCTTCTCCAGAGGAATTTGCAGGGTGAGGTAGAGAGTTCAGGCCTTCCTCACTTTGGGTCAGCAGAGAAATGCCCTGTCCTTTCAGCACTGAAGGCTGATTTCCTTCCAACTCTAGACAGATTTCTGACCAACCCCTTTGCAGCTGCAGGTACTTTAGGCACTGGGGAGTTGGATACCTTAGTCACTGCTATCATGGGTGGGGAGAGCAAGTCACATTTCCTTTTGAGTACTGCTCAGCCTGCACAGGAAACCCTGGGACCTCAGTTGTCTCACCAGGGCCTCTCATAACCATTTCCCTGAACCCTTTTCTGTGTGGGTTGTTGCTCTGCATATAGCTGGGGGCAGGGTGAGGGGGGAGAGATTCACGATAATGTGGAGAATGCTCTCTCTGGGAGTGAGATGGGGTCAAATCCTCCTTCCTCCAACCTGTTGCACCATCCCTCACCAAAGCCCATGGCTATCAGGTCTGGGAGGGAGAAGGAGGATTTTCACCTCTGGCTCCTCCACATCTGTATCACTGTGAGCTATGCCCAAAACAAAGAAATAGAGTAGGCAGTCCTGTTCTTGCATTGTGAAGACCGGGATCCCTTCCTGGAAGAACAATCTGCCCTGTGGTGGTTTTACCCTGCTGGGCAGCCAAATTCCACCACAACCACTCTCTCACTCCCCATCCTCAAAAGAAGGAAGTATGCTGCAAAGAAAAAAAAAAGTCTCATGGGTTGAGATAAGGATAATTTAATTAAAGGAAAAAGAAAGAGGGAAAAACAACAACAACAACCAAGCAAAAGCCACGTGGAAACATAGGAGAAGAAAAATAAATTATCTACTTCCCATCAACGGGTGATATTTGGCCGCACCCTTGGAAGCAGGGCCTCAATACACATAGTGGTTGTTTGGGAGGACAGATGTCTTCATAATGAGAACGTGTGTGTGGCCCCCTTCCCACCACACCCTCTTTTTCCCCTTCCCCCCTCTTATTGCTATTGAAGCATAACCAAAACTAAACAACTTCTACTTCATGTGAAATTTAGTTGTCTGTAGGAAAAACTACCGCATTTAACTTTTTTTCTAAACAAATTATTCAAGTGTGCTTTGGGTTTATGTGAGATAATCTGTGTGAGGGCAGCATAACAAACTATTGGTGAATACTGGTGATAAATATTGTATGGAGATATTGTATGGAGATAGATATCCATCTCTCTGAGTTTAATTACTTGCAGCACTAAGTGTGAATTCCCATTCAAAGGAACACACATCTGGTTTAGACTGGCAAAAAAGCTTTAAACTGTTTGGTCATATAGTCTAACAAACTATTGTGCTGTGTCTGTTATTTTTAAGTAGTAATGTAAATGGCATGCATTGAAGTAAGACAAAGGGTAGGCTGTATGAAACTTTCTACAAAGCATGTATGGTAGGGCACAAGAGGGGTGGTTTTCTTCAGTTTTAGATGATTTACACGTTGTATACATGCCTAGACTCATAACTTTCTGAAGTCCTAATTTCCCACTGCTAATGTTCATCTTTTTCTGTGAAAGACCTACTGTAACAAGTGGTCATTCAACATAAAGTCAACTGCAATGATGTTTTGGAGCAAGAACAAATTCCTTAAAGTAGTCTGAAGCAACACTGAAATGCTGTTACTGAAGTAGTAATAGATTAAAACTTTCCACAGATGTATTTTCTTTAAGTTGATTTTATCTTGTCTTAATTACCAGTGGATTGTTGACCTGTGCTGTGGTTTATGTGTATTTCTAAAAGAAATGTACAGAATTTCTGCAGTTCATTTTTGGAGCAGAATGTACATAAATACTGTTTAATTTTTTATGATTATTTTGTAACGTAACTTCAAAACTAGAATCTAGGAATTTGAACTATTCTTATTAAAGTATAATATGGAATTAGATGCCTCCATGAAGTATAATAATCTGAATTAATTTCCTTTAATATTTCTTGTTTTCTGTTGCCTCATGTAGTATCCAATTTAGTGTTTCAAGCTGTAGTCTCTTGTTTTCTGTTTGGTTTTTTGTTTGTTTGTTTTCTTCTGTAGTTTGCTTGTTTATTCTTTGAAGTTTTTTGTTTTTTTGTTTGTTTGTTTGTTTTCAAAAAAAAAAATCATGTCCACTGTTACTGAAAATGAGAATTCTAAGCACAGAAATTGATGCTTTTGCAATTGCATGTTTCAGCATTTTTTTGGAATTCCTGATCAAATGAAGCTTGCAGTATTTGCCTGAGGAATCGAACACATGTGAAAATATAGTTGGTAGTTTTACCTTAAAATTGTAGAAAGTTCTGTTCTTGTATGAATAAAAAACTTTTAGATAGAGATTTTTATTAAAATTAAAGGGGGGGGGGAACAAATCGGGGAAAGTTTGGGCAGCTTATATAACATCTTTATTAATTCAGTGAACTCTTAATTATGCCAGTTAAAACTGTGATTTGTTATCTCCATTAGAATCATAGAATCATAGAATATCCTGAGTTGGAAGGGACCCTTAAGGATCGTCAAGTCCAACTCTTGACACCACACAGGTCTACCCAAAAGTTCAGACCATACTAGTCTTTCAAATGATACTCTTTTATGTCTTAATGCATAAAAAGTAAATGCCATGGTGGATTAATATAACTATAGTGTACTGGTATCTAATGCATTTACAGCTAAATTGAGTAATCTTATTGTTGTATGCGTTTTAGGGCCGGTACTTTTCAATATTTTTATAAACGATCTGGATGTAGGAATAGAAGGCATTTTGAGCAAGTTTGCTGATGACACCAAACTTGGAGGAGTTGTGGACTCGAATGAGGGTGGAAAGGCCTTGCAGAGGGATCTGGATAGGTTGGAGAGCTGGGCGATCGCCAACCGCATGAAGTTCAATAAGAGCAAGTGCCGGGTCCTGCACCTGGGACGGGGAAACCCTGGCTGCACGTACAGACTGGGCGATGAGACGCTGGAGAGCAGCCTAGAAGAGAGGGATCTGGGGGTCGTAGTAGACAACAAGTTGAATATGAGCCAGCAGTGTGCCCTGGCAGCCAGGAGGGCCAACCGTGTCCTGGGGTGCATCAAGCACGGCATCGCTAGCAGGTCGAGGGAGGTGATTGTCCCGCTCTACTCTGCGCTGGTGCAGCCTCACCTCGAGTACTGTGTGCAGTTCTGGGCACCACAGTATAAAAAGGACATGAAACTGTTGGAGAGTGTCCAGAGGAGGGCTACGAAGATGGTGAAAGGCCTGGAGGGGAAGACGTACGAGGAATGGCTGAGGGCACTGGGCCTGTTCAGCCTGGAGAAGAGGAGGCTGAGGGGAGACCTCATCGCAGTCTACAACTTCCTCGTAAGGGGGTGTCGAGAGGCAGGAGACCTTTTCTCCATTAACACCAGCGACAGGACCCGCGGGAACGGAGTTAAGCTGAGGCAGGGGAAGTTTAGGCTGGACATCAGGAAGGGGTTCTTCACAGAGAGAGTGGTTGCACACTGGAACAGCCTCCCCAGGGAAGTGGTCACTGCACCGAGCCTGTCTGAATTTAAGAAGAGATTGGACTGTGCACTTAATAACATGGTCTGAACTTGGGTAGACCTGTGCGGTGTCAAGAGTTGGACTTGATGATCCTTAAGGGTCCCTTCCAACTCAGGATATTCTATGATTCTATGATTCTATGATTTAGTCTTGCTTGGCTTTAGTAAAAACTGATTTATGAATTAGATAAATGTAGTGTTGGACATTGATTTTTTTTTTTTTTTATCCAGGTGAAGAGGTATAACTAAACGTATTGCTTAGAGAAACAGATAAAATTAGAGGTCTAAAACAATCTCATTGTACTGTTTCATACTTGGTATACGACTTACTTTTGAGTTATCAAGTCACTGTGGTGGAATTAATACTTGAATGTGCAGTATTGCTTTGAATTTCTGCTTTCTGAGTGGATTAATACATGGATTATCAGTGTTGATTAGGGAATCTTGGTTTCCTGGGCTTCTCTCATTAGTATTGTTAACCTGGATACTTAACTTGGGTACCCCCTCCCATCACCATTCAGGTTCACATTAGACAATTTTTTAATTCAGTGAAATCTGGCTTTTTCGCTGGCAGTGGTAACTGCCATGTTCATAAGACATATGCTTGCTTGTGGAAAATGGCAACAGAACACTTGATCTGTTTTTGGGCTGTGTGATAAGAGCATAAATAATATGAAGGTTATTCCTCTAACTGTGCTGTTGGGATTCCTTCACGTGAGTTCCCTCGTTGATTTATCACCGTGTTTTAGTAGACTGCCTTCTGCCACCTGCTGTTCGCTTTGCAGCACCGCTCTTCCCCCTTTATTTTAATGTTGAGCTTGGCTTTCCAGCGCCCTGACCTGCAGGAGTAAGCATTTTTAAAATCCCATTAAATCCAAGTAGCCTAATTGTAATTTAATACACTCCGTCCTGCTGGGAGCGCTGTGCCCGCACCCCAACGTTCGGTTAAACCGCCCTCAAATTTAAACGGCCATTTCAGGCCGTTACTACCGGCCCCTGCGGCCCCTGGGCGGTGCTCGTGCACCACACACCTCCCCCTCCCCCTCCCCCCTCCGCCCGCGCGCCCCTCGGGAGCGCGCGGCGCGGGGAGCCTCGCGCCCATTGGGCGGGGAGCGCCCGGCTCGCACCCGATAGGGTCGCGGCTCGGCCGCTCGGCGGCGCTCATTGGAGGGGAGGCGGCCGCGCCTGGGGCTGCACCAACGCACCCTGAAGGCGGGGGGGGAGGAAGGAAATCCGCGGGGTGCTGCGCCACGGCCCCCCTCAGGCGCTGCGGTGGTTCGGCCCGCGGGGCGCCCTGCCCCTGCCTGTGGCCGGCCCTGCGTGTAATTAACGGGCCTGCAATTAGCTAATGAGGGGCCTGCAATTAGCTGATGAGGGGCTGTCCCCGCGCAGCTCCGCGCCTCTAGAGCAGCGTTGTAACTGCGCGGCTCCGAGGGCCTTCCAGAGGGTTCTGGTGTCCTTGGTTGAAATCTTCACCTGTGGTGGAGCGAGGTGACTTGGAGGCACCTCGAGTTCCACACCATGCTCAGAGCTAATTAAACTAATTGTTGTCTACAAGTTCCACTGTCTTTTTTTATTATTATTTCCATACCTTGCCATTCAGATGCATACCCATACGGCCATTGCGGGATTTTAGCACCATATCAGTAAAACGAGCAAAGCCAGGGTAACGCACACGTTCCAGGCACAGAGCAGGGGGGTCTCAGAGGGGCCGAGATCCCTCAGAAAGGGGTCTCATGGCCAAACCTTGAGTCTGTAGGGCAACTGTGGAGAACAGATGTGTTTAGTCTGTTGTTAAGATGATGCTGCTCATCTCCTGTTGATGGAAAGGGGAGATCCTTTTGTCTTCATTCAGGAGAACGTTCTACACTTCCTATAGAATTAGTATAAGTGAAACACAGGGATATTTTCAATACTTTGTAAAACACAGGGATATTTTCAATACTTTTTAATGCATAGCAATGGTGGGACAAATGGCATGTTACACTCAGTGAAATATATCTAAATGTTCATAAAGCTCTGGGGCACTTACACGCCACGGAGCATGGCTGTGTATGCTGCCCATCGCATTCAACATCTGTGTCTGCGCGTGCTAGCCGTTTCCCTGGCCCTTTGTCTCTCTCTTCTTGATGCTGCTGCTGCTATGGGGAAAAACAGAGAGAAAGAACAACAGGATATTGTCCGGTTCTGGTCTGTGTGCCAACAGTGACAAAACGTTGTTTTCTCCTCGGTTTTGGGATTCTTGTTGGCTTTTATTAGTCTTGGGCGAGCCCGAGCACGTTAAGATGTTTTTTAAATTCTTCCAGTTACTGTGGAAACCTTGAGTCTCCGGGAGGAAGGTGGTGTCCCGTGCCCTTGTGCAGACATTTCTGTTCGGGAGGATGACACCCTGACTCATGCAGAGGAAAAGAAGAGCCCCGTTGCAGAACACAACAGGAAGACGTTCAGCACTGCTCTTTGCCAGGATGACACCTGCAGGGCTGCCGCAGGAGTGGAAGTGAGCCACAGGCTGGATGGGTAGCGCTGAGAAAACTGCATTGCTGTACAAATCTCACGCCAAACCAGAGCACCATTTTGGCTTCCATTCTCCTTTTCTGACACCTGTAGGTAAGCATGAAGTGTACTGCCAGATAGACTTCTGCAGCAAGTTACCAAGCAAAGGAATCATCCCGGGGTGCGGATTCACACCAAAGTGGTCTTGTTTAGCTGTCAGGATTATAATCAAGGAATATCAACTGCAAATGTGCTAGGGTTGCTGAGGCAGGAGCTGGCTGCTTGCCAGTGCTTGAATGAGGAGGTGGCACCCGGCAGGACGCCTGGAGCTGCGGGTGACACACAGGTACGTGCTGCTGAGGCTGAAGGCTGTGGGGTACAGCAGGAGGAGAATGGGTGTGTGGCCACTATTTTGGGATGGGGATGTTCCCATGTCTAATTTGACTCTGGTAAACTCATTTGACCCCCCAGTAAGTCTGCTTTCAAAATAGGTTATTAGGGTACAGTGACATACTTTGTGATTTTTAAGAAAATCTTAGCTTTGATAATCTCCTTAACATGCACTAAACCCAAATAGTCTGCAGCTTCTGTGAAGTGTGGGCAAAAGCTTTGGTTTCTGTGTGTTCTTGCGGTTGTGGGGACCACTGTCCCTGCTTTGCTGCACCCATACAAGACACCAGTGGTGATAAAGGCCTTTGTGAGAGGATGAAGCAGGGTGAAAAATGATCATTTAGCCAGCTAATGAGTTGTATTAAAACCACACAGGATATAACAGAGGTTTTAATTTCTTCAGTAATGCATCACATAGACCACCTAAAGCTAGGAAGCAAATGCCATAAACACTTTGAAAGATAAATGGCAGAAATTTAAAAAATCTGCTTCAAGTGCGAGAAGTGACAAAATGAAATAGAACTACACAGGCGAAAGAAATTAATGTGCTAATTACGTAATTGTGGGACTACATAAGAAATGCCTGCAATAGGGGGAGTTTATGCAGTTTGTGAGGACTTCAGTATTGATTTAGAATGGCTGAATTTATGGTGTTGCAACTTCTGTTAAGCTGTAAGCTTTTTAAAGAACTTCTTAATAAATTGACATGTTGTTACATTGTTTGAATGCTGTAGGATGTGAAAATATTGATGTGATGCCTGAGCTTGATTCGAAGGGGGATGTATCTTAAAAATAAAAATAAACAAGTCACTGACACTACACTATTGGGTTTTATCATAGCTTTAGGACATGTATAGTCCATGAGTTTCCTGTTTATGATTCTGATTTGGGATTGCTGTGTTCATCGTTCTACGTGTTCTGGGAAGTTCTGGGCTCTGTCTGATGAACTGGTTCTGTTGCTGATAAAAAAAAAAAAAAAAAAAAAAAAAAAAAAAAAAACTTCCCTTTTTTCTGGTTTAATGGCTTTTTGGAGTTGTAGAGTTCTCTTTACTTCGAACTTCTCTGTGTCTGTGAAGAGCAACTATGTAAGACGTAAGAATACTTTATTTTGCAAATACTTGTGAAGCTTAAGCATTCAGTCTGTTGTGCTTCTAAGCTGTTCTTTCTGGAAATACTAAATAGTTGAGAAGCTTTGGCCAGCTCTAGTTACAACAGGGTTATTGACTGTTAAACAAGACTTAGTTTAATTCTTGTGTTGCTTTAATTACACTTCTGTAAAGACACTAGAATATATTCTACTTTCTGTCTGGCAATAAATGTGCATGCTTCTTCATGATGTTTTCTGATGTGAACCTAGTCATTTTTAAATTGATACTGCTACTCGATGGAGGTATGTCTAAAACAGTTCTCTTACAGACTTGTTTCAGCTTGTTGAAATGTCTGTTGCTCAATAACTGTTACAAAACTTTAGATATTTTAGTATAAATTAATTTCTTTCTAGGTATACTCATCAGATGCTTTCTGTGATCTTTATCTGTGAATCTGCTCAAGCAATTCCTTCCTAAACTCACTTTAGGAACCGCATCTTGGTCCTTGTACTGCTTTAACTCCCAGAGAAATAATTAAATAACAAGACCGTATAACCTACTGAAAACATAAAATGACTGAATTCCTGGTTTGTTTTAACTGGTGCAATGGTGAACAACCCCAGCCGGTAGGTAGATGCACAAATCCCATCTTTTATCACATTTGTAATTTTATCTTTTGATTATAATATGAAACACTTTTACTATCGTGTTGTTTTGATTAAATTGGATTAATAGAAAAGCTAAGAATGGATATGTTATGCTGTGTTTAAGCTTTATACGTTGTTTGTCAGAAGCTTTGCCAGTATGATTGTTTGCAGTTCTCAGATCCTATATGTAGGGGATTGACTTTTCCAAAATTCAAGAAAGCTTTTGCTAAAAATCAAGTAGCAGTAATAAAGGTGCGTTTGACCCTCTCATAGAGTGACGAGTGTGAAGCTTCAGCCTGGTTGCCACAAGGAGTCACTGGGGGGTCAGAACTGCCTTTTTTCTTTGGTTGGCCGCTCCTTGTTTCTGTCTGAAAGCTGCCTCATATTTTCTGAGTAGAAACATAAGATATCTTTCTTCTTATAGAAGAGGCGTCGGAGACTGGACCGGAACATGATAGGAGAACCAATGAACTTCGTCCACAACGCGCATGTTGGGACAAGAGAGATGAGTAGTGACTTTTCATCAGTAAGTGTGCGCTCCTGGATAAGCAGGAATCTCAGCTCAGCATCCTGTAGAGCCAGTAGATACTAAAATACTAGATAATATCATGGAAGGACAAAACATCTGTCTTTGTGTTCACCCTACACCCCTCCCCTCCCCCCCCCCCCACCCCCCCTCGAATTGCCCCTCAGTTTGTAAGCATAATGTACTGTAGAAGATATGTTCCACAAGACAGTCTGACTTCCTCAGTGTCTTTATGTGTGAAGAGAACCCTTTGGGATAATGATTCTGTGGAAGCACTTGATACTAGGTCCAGATTTCACATCACCCAAAATCAAAGTTGTGCCAAGTTGAGAGATGTAACAACAGTTGGATGTTGGACAGTAATACCCATTTCGTTCACTGACTTAACACAGAACTTCTAGGTTGTTTTTCTAGTTTTTTTTGTTGTTGTTGTTTGGGTTTTTTTAGTTGCTATTTCTCCCCACTGCTACTGGGACCTAGCACTGTCTGCTTCTTCAAATTTATGCTTTTAGAAATGGCTCTGACAACTAGACTTTGTAAGATGAATGTTCTAATTCTAACTCAGTCTACCCCTTCTTCTTCTAGACTGCATCAATTCAGGACCACATGAAGTCTAAAGGTGGTTACACAAATAGCACTTCAGCAACTGCTGAGCTATAGGAAATGGAAAGAAGTCTGACATTTGCCCTGTCTTAAGAAGATCTCCTGGACTGTGCTTTCATATTCTCTAAAGCCTCTTTATCATGAAGTAGAGAGAGTACTTGAATTATAATAGGTCAGTGCGAGCTTTTGCGTTCTTTGCACAATAGCTTCTGAAGGAGTTACTGGAAATTATCCTTAAAAACAGTCTGTCGTGGTAGCAACAGTAATTTGTCACTGGATGACTTCCTGGCTGTATTCCAAAAACCTCAAAGTCGTCTTGTAGGATGGGACTGGAAGTTGGCATGAATTGTCTGGGGTTTTGTTATCTCTCTGTCTCTTCCCCTCAAGAAACAAGACTAATTTTTAATTGGAAGATAACATATTTGTACTTCCTACGTGGGCTAAATTGAATATCTAAGTAGGGTCTGTAACATAACTTTTGACCTAATTTTTGGATGGCTTACAATTTAAGGCATTAATTTACTGAGTTATGCTTTAGTATTTTTCTCCATGACTTTCAATAGCGAACCAACTCTAATGTGATGTAACTAGCTGAGTCTGCAAAACCCAGTGAAACTTCTGCCTTTCTGTGATAACGCTGTTGTAGCTTAAAAAACAGGTTTTGCAGACCTACCCACTTAGAAAAACAAGCATTTCTCTCAGTTACTGGCCTGCCTCCCCTCTATATGTGCACTAGTATAACTGACAGGTATTATTAATACAACAAAACTAATATCAGGTATCAGTTAATTTGAAGTGGTGCTACAGTATGCTCACAACTTTATGCTAATTTTGCATGAATACTATTGAATTTTAAGCTAAATACATTTAAGAGCTCCCGGTATTACCTATCTGTAACAATAACTGCACGGAACTGGAAGGGGTATCTCTTGCTTCTGTCTCTTTAATTTCGAAACTATTTTCTTAGATGAACTGAAGTCTTTCTTATATATGATTTTAAATGATATGGGTGAAATAAAGTATAATTTAAATGATAGAGTCAGGAGAATATTAAATGGAAACTGTCTCTTAGAGTTCCAGTGCTTTATAAATATGGATATTTAGCCATACGCAACCTACAGTTTATTTCTTACATCACTTAATAGAAAAACTAATAAGAACTGACAAAACTGCTTAAATAGAGATTTTCCTTTCATCACATCATTGACAACTGTTCTAACTTAAAATTATGACTGTCAGTGCAGAAACTTGTGAAGTTTGCTGTTGTGGGATTAACTAAATACAACTGTTTAAATTACTGCCGAGTCAGCACCAGTTATACCCAAAGTCAGTGCACCTCTCCCTTTCTTGCTCTAGGCATAAGATCATCCATTAAACTTTTTTCATGAAAAACAAGAAACCAAAAGATTTGCCAGCTAGATTTTTGGAAGGCAGATTTTTAACTTCAATTATTATGTTTGTGGCTTATGATACTTTTTTAAACTGGCTTTGCTTAAGTCTTAGGCTGCCTATTCTGAGTATATTAGGTAACTTAAAACGAAAAAGGTAGGTTTCTGTATGCATTATAAAAAGAAATATTTTCCCCATGCTTCCTTCCCATATTTCATCTTTAAGGGCCAAAGAGGAAGAGAATGCTACTTTCTGTAGTAGTCAACAGCTGATCATTGCATTCAGCAACCACATAAAAGAGTAAAAGAGAAATCTAATGCCCCACATCTTTCTAGATCCTCGTTTTTGAATTAAATACATGCCATATTTTAATACCTTTTAAAATTTGCACATTAACTGTAAACGTAGCTTTTTAAACACTTTCATATTTTTGTCTTCTAACTTCAGACTTATTCCAGCAACCTAGTTAGGATGCAGAGTTCAAAGAAGTTAAATCCTGTATACTGTTGAGGAAGCATAAAGTGGCCAAATTATTCTTTAAAAATACATTCTAATTCATGTGCTATTAAACTGAATTCATGTATTCATTAGTCCATACCTGCCAAGAAAAAATAAACATAGGACAGCTGTGATGAAGAAAATGGGTTATATTTTTCTTAACACTACAAGAAAACAAGCTAGAGAGTTAGTATTTCCTGAAGACTCATTCAGTATATTTAAGAACAGAGTGGTGTGTGCATGACTACAAATAAAGAAGTTGGGGATCATGATAGTTCTTCTTGCTATAAATAAATCAACAGAGATAATTTTGTTATTCAGCTTATTTGTAGAAAAAACCTACTCCTGATTCTGTAAACCAAACAGCATTACCTAGCGTAAAAGTGATATTCATCAGACTACACAGTATTATCTAGGACTACATTAAAATTAACCAAGTAGTCATATTATTAAAAAAAAAAAAGAAATAAAAACATGTTTAGCTATTGCATTAAGTGCCGCTACTTTTTAAATGTAAACAACCATAAAAGGATGTCTCAGGTATTTTCTTTGTATAATTAGAAGCCTTATTTAGCTCTAGTCTGTCATGTAACTCAATATAAACCTATCTAGGTTATAATAAATCTGTTGAACAAGGCACTTGCACTCTTTTCATATTGTCAAAATCTTGATATTTTTCTCTGCAGTGAAGATGTATTGGTCTGGTGGACGAATCAGCATGGTTTGAAACTTTATTGTGCAAAATCACATTTCTCCACTAGAGAGCACAATTTTCCATCAAGCCTCTGTCAACTGCTCTATACAGGCTGTTCAGTGTGGGGTTGGTTTTTTGTTGTTGGGGCTTTTTGTTTATTTTATTCCAGTCAAGTTGAAAACAGAAAATGATACCGAAGGGTCAAACCTCTTAATCTACCTTGTAGGTTGTGACAACCTTACACCAACAACGCAATGTGGCAATGAAATGTTACTGCTATGACTTGATGGAATTTTTATGGTCTCTCTTCATAGTCAGAAATAAAGTAGCTTACAAGGGGTATAGGATTGTCTTCTGTATGTAGTCTGCCAGAATCTCATCACTCTATCTGTTTGTCTTTTTTACGTGTTTTTTTTTTTTTTTTTTTTTTAAAGGTAAAGGGGTAGGGGGGAAGTAGGTCTTTATTTTTAAACATTGTCTTACCTTGTGATGTCCCTGGTAGGCTTTACTGACTGTACCATACTTTTGCTTAAACCTGTAGTCAGTATTGAGAAAAGGTATTTTGATTTTTCACAACCTAATATGTCCTTTAATCTCCTGGAATGGCTTTGTAAAGAAAGTGGTGTCATGCTATGTTCCGAGTTATCCTGTAATATGGCAACCTGTGACTCAGGCATGTAGGGCTAGTTCTTTGTATGGTCTCGCCATTGTGGACTATCACCTGCTTCTGTAACTTCCACTCTGTATAGACAGTAATTGTCTGAGATTAATAAATACTTCTAACCTTATTGTACCAGCAAGAATAAGCATGATTTAATAGTGCTAAATTCCATGGAGGAATGGTTATGAAATTTATTACAAGTTACTAAATATGGTAATTAATGTTGGAGGAAAAAATCAAAGCTGCCATTTAGAGATGATTGTTTGGCTGCTCTTGATCACCTTTGGATGTACTTTGCTATCATCACTGTGACAGTGCCATAAAAACTTAACAGGGGCAGATAAGAATGCTCGTCTGCCTCATAATGCTGTGGGGAGAGAGGAGATAAATGAGGGAATGAAAACAGTGTCACGTTACAGGGATGTTAAAAAGATCTCCTCTGGTGAGTGGGTTTCTGCAAGGCTCAGGTAGTTTGTAGTTCTGCAAATGTGGCTAGTCCAGAATCTCATGTAGCTTTTTTCATTTACTGTACTGTCAAATCATCCAGATAAAGTTAGGTAATTGGGGAATATGAGGTAGAAGCTATATCTTCCTTCCTAGTTTTTCTTTGCATTTTCTTTTCCCAAGAGAGCACTCTTCAGTGGGACTGGTTAAAAAAGAGTAGTGGCAGTGCTCTGATTTGCACGGCTTACTAGATTATGCTTCTGGTTTGAGTCCTGAAGGTAGACCTTCAATTCTAAAATCCATATGACAGATAAATCACATGCCACAGAGTTAATACCGAAGGTGTGGAATAAGAATTGATCTGGTTCATTACGTTGCAGGTTAGCTGCTTCTGCTGCAGGCAGAAAATGAAGACTAACCATAAGTATAACACCGCTTTTAGAAAAGCAAGGCTGCTTGGAAAAAAAATAAAAAAATATATATATGTATAATATATGTGAACACATTTTAAAAAAGGGGAGACTTCGCATTTTAACTCCCTGCAATTGTAGCACCACCCTTAACTCTCTACCTTTCTGTGTTAATATATGGGCTAGCTCAGGAGATTTTAGACACAAAGTAGCAGTTAATGATTGAAATTGAAAATTTTAGATACTTTCCTTTGTACCTCAAGTCCCTGTGCACCTAAGGAGATGCTCTGCATGGTTGGTACTTGTGCTTCTGCAAGCAAACTACCGTGATTAGTCTGGCACACAAGGCCCAGGCTGCTTATGTCAGTGGTTTTCCTGTCACTATTCACATGTTCATAGTGTATATGTAAGAATACATGTTTCCTAGTACTGTACAGAGCGTGGCTTCTCTAGGAACTGGCCTGTTGGAGAGCTGTTTCTTCAACAGAGTCTTAAGGTATGGAGTAACTTTGACTTATTAGCACATGCAGCTCTAAGCCAATGTTATTTTGCTACATGAAATAATAAAATCTTTGTTTATTTCTAAATTCTTTATACTCTGGAGAAGGTAGTCAAAGAGTCTAACAGGTCTGTTGGGAGCTACAGAAAAGTTAGATATGCAAGGGAAGCAGATTTGGAAGCCACAGATGCTGTGGTATTTCTTTATAAGGAAGAAGCAGCGAGTAGAACATGTGCAAGTTAATGTTTGTTTCCTGTAATGCACAGGACAGCTTTCTTAACATCAAAATATTGGTAAGGTGTGCATAATTGGTATATGGAGGAAATTGGGCACTTAAAAGCATGACTAAGCTGGGACTTTATACCCTTCCACTTGCACTGCCAAATGGATGTTGGTATCCTCTTCCTGCAGAGGCTTACAAAGCTGTCTTCAGCACGTAGGGAGAACCCCAAAATGCTAGCATTGCTTTCAGCATCTATATGCTAATGATGGCATGTATAGGTTTGGAAGGTAGCTTTTTCTTCTGATGAACGTGAGACTGCAGATGTTCTGAATGCTGAATCCTGCTGCACCCAACACCATTTCCTCTAAGCCAATTTAAAGTCAGTACAAATATTGGTGCTAAAGGGAATTTGACTTCAGCCCACAGTACTGCCCAAACTTCAGGAAAATTAACTAGATCCAGCTGATGTTCAGTTTCCAGGCATTGGGAGAGAGTCAGAGCTGAACAGCGATGAAGACTTCCTCCTGCTGGACTCACTGTGGGCTGGGGTTCCAGTTGACCATAGCTACAAGAGCTTTCCATTAAGACCTTTTCTCCTGATGCTGTACAAAGGAAAGAAGCATTAAAGAAAACAGTGAAAGCGCTTCTGAGCGTAGAGGGGCATTACAAGGATGCACTCTTGTGCCAAAAGAGCCTGCAACTCAAGGCTCTTGATCCAGACCTAGGACTGCTGCAAGCACAGCTGTGGCAGGGTATGCTTTGGACTCCGTATCACCTAAACTCAGTCCTTATTAGCTTATCAAGCCTTGCAGTCTGGCTACTGTACACTTTGTTCTGTGTCTGTACATCCTGTAGCATGACCAAATTAAAAAATATATATGCATATATAAATAAATACTATCCAAAAATGTAGTTCAAATTGGAGGAAGTTCTCTTAACCCAATTTTAATCCTGTTTAAGAGAGAGTTGTCAAGATGGACAAGAACACCAACTTTGAGCTCCAGGTGATCAGTTGAGATCATTACAGTAAATCATTTGTCAAATCAGGGCCACAAAGTTGTACTGAAACTACTTGGTGAGCCTTCTTTTATGTTTTAAAACAACCTAAGTCTGAAGAAGATACTCTTTATAACAGATTTTAAGTTTCCTCAGATGCTTCCATATAAATCCAAGCTGGGCAAAACCAAAGTTATTACTAAGGGCCGACCCTTATTCAGGAAAATATTAAAGCTAAGTGTTCATTTTCTCAGATTTTGAAAAATTCAAATGGTACGATACTGGAATATTTAATTGCATACATAATATGTGGTTTAATATATATGTATATAGAGAGACCTTGCATCTTAAGTAATACAGGAGGAAATAATCCATTCTTTTAAACTGAAATTAGTATGATTGGTCTGGCTTACTGAAGGTTAAAAACTGGACTCAAATCTACATTTAAACTACTGAGAGAGAATTTGGTGTGCTTTTAAAGCTGACATTGGCCTGTACAAGCGGATGACTGACTAATTTCAGATTCTTCATCAAAGAACTAGAGAAAGTGTTTGATTATAGGATTTTTTAATAGTGTATTTACATGCATCTGATCTTGCTGGTGCTTAAGAAAGATGCGTACCTTTTACATAACTTGAGCAGAGTCTAAAGGTAAATAGAGACTATAACGATAACCAGTAATTAACCTTCTCACAGTGAGCTCTCTGAAACTAAGGATTTGTAGATCAGACCAAACAATCATACTTTCTCCAGATAGAAAGCCAATTTAAAAAGTTAATATCTATAAGCTTAAAAGCCCAGCCTTAACATGTGCTAAAGCTGCATACTAGTAGTGGAAGGAGCATGTTTTTAACTGCAGTTATCCATGTTTACCCTTGCAGTCTCTACTATCAGGAAGTATTAAAACCTGACTCAATACTTTTGAGGGCATGATACAAGTTTGAAAACATAATTCAAAAATAAGGTTACAGTCATTTATTAATGCATGCTAATGTGACCTTGCCGCAAAATGGCATGTGAGGAAAGCTTTCACTAGTTTCTCTTAACTACTTTAAACATTACCTTTGAAAACACATTTGAATCAGCTATTCTCTCCGCTGCATAATGTCCAGCAAACTAAGGCACCTCTTGATTGCTTATATTAACATTACCTGATGTTCAGATAAGGCTGGTAGGACATGGGGAGAAGTTTCTAGGCATGAGTTCACATGAATAAATAATTCTTAAATGCCAGCCTTACTATTTTTTGGATCATTTTCTTGCCAGGAGATAGTCCCATCAGGCTGCTGCATTATGTCTTCATTTTTGCCATGTGGGTATGCATCTCTGAGCTGGCATATTTCAGAAAAAATCTTCCTCGTGGCATTCTTTAATCAAGAGGTTTCACAGTGAAGGAGACGAGTTTATAGGACAGAGTAAAATTTGCTCTGGTTAAGTCTGTCACCTGCTTTATTCTGCCCTACTACTTTACCTTCTAATAAATTTTCCTATAAATATATTTACATCCAGCATTTGGGTTACTGTTCTCTCTAAGTTCTCAGAACTAACACAACATATTAAAAATCCTTTCTTACTTTTGAAGCTTGTGTATTAATTAACCCCAAATCCCTTCATTACTGATTTTTGTATGAAATAACTGTTTAGCATGAAGAGTCTAGTCTCTTAATTACAATCATAGCTCTTTAAAAATCATGCAATATACTTTCTCTTAAATAACTAATGCTGATAGCCACCCTTCCAAATCTGCCTACCTAACAAGGCAACTATTTTCTGTTTATAGTATTTCATGCAAAATTAACAGATAGTAATTCAAAGTGAAGCTAACAGAAGAACAGATTGAACTGGATAAAGAGATACAGGAAAAGGAACAGAAAAGACAGGTTGGTTGAAATAAGTTCATTTAAAAGTTGAAAGGTGGATAAATATTGAAAAACAAAACAAAATAAATAAAAGTAGCACTTAATGCAATGGGAGAGACAGGAGAACAGCCCTGGAATGGAAAATGTTTGAGATGTTTCCTTATGAGTCAAATAAGTTGTGTTTGTAAGTGTGCACATATGCTAGAAAACAGGGGGGGAAGGAGATGATAATTTCATGATGCCTTCAAAAAGGATTTCGGAATTCCAAGCAATTTCTTCTCTGTGCTAATGATCACTTAGCTTCAGTTTCTATTTTCTCACTAATGTGCTCAAAGCCTGCTTTAAACGTGTCTGTTCCTAACACTTTGAAATGCTTTAGTAATGCCTGAGTCATTACAGATTTTATTTCATGTTGATGCTTTGGTTAGGGAAGGGATTTTTCTGAGAGCCATTTCTCTTCTTTTCTCTGATGTAAATAATTATGGTGGTAGAGGAAGGATGCAATTTTTGGCGTAGACTTTTAGTATCTTAACTTGATTATAGGTAAAGCTATATTGTCTATTCTTCCCTCTCCCCTACCTGTAAAATAAGGAATTTCATGTTGAAAACCAGGGGAGAGGGAATAAATAAATAAATAAATCTTTTAGGCCTTGAAGTCATTCTCAGCCTTTGAAGGCCTTTATAACCTAATTATCT